AGGAGGGGGTAGGGGTGTGGGGAAATCAGCCGTGAGAAGGAGGTTGCATTCTGTATACTTATGAGCTGCTGTCTAGTTCCTTTAAATTTCTTTCAGTTAAGAGATTTTGAACTGAAACATTTGTACTGATGTTTTGCCAGCAGTGGTAAATGGTTGTGGAGGTAGATTCTGAAACTTAGGACTATGGTTATTTGTCAGCCTGTGAGTAAATAGGGTAGAGGTTTATATTGGGGCACAGTCTGTCTGTGTGTTTGTGTGGGTGAGTGTGTCTGTCTAGCTCTTGGTCTGTGTTTCTCACTCTTTTTTTCTTTGTGCCTCATGCAGGCCCTGCCATGAATTTTCTCTGACCCCTTGGGGCCATTCCCACATGAAGCTTTGATGTGTGTGCCCGGAGCTTGATTGACAAGGAAGTTTTGGTGGCGGCAGCAGGGAGACTAAGAGAAAAGGGCAGGGCTTTGAACTAAAGGGCTTTGAGCTCTGAGATGCTGTGCTTACTTATCTCCTTCAGAATGTTAATTATTTACCAAGATAATTGGTCGGGAGGGGGAAAAAAGAGAGGGAAGGTTATTAAAAAATTCCAACACAAACATGCTACAAAAACCTCATTTTCCGACTTGCAACTGGCATGAAAAGGATGTTGTGTGTAAAAAGGCTTGAGTGTATGTGTGTGTGTGTGTGTGTGTGGGGAGCCTTTTTTAAGGCACCCATTTACTAAATAGAGGGATCCCTTCAGACCAGTGCAGTGGAAACATCAAAGCTCTTGCAAGAGTTTTCTCTGGGGTTTCTAAACCGTATCTGATACTTTTTAATTAGAAAAGTTTATGGAGAGCCGTCTTTGTGACTGGAGCAGGCAACCTTATGCCCTGTCAACACAGGAATGAAATACTAAAAGACCTAAAAAGTAATGATTTCTACTAAAATGTCGGTTCAAGGATGTGAAGATGCCTGGCCATTTTAGCATGAGCTGAAGACGTGGAGGAGACTGATGAATGTCTTTTGCTTCAGTCCAGCATAATGTAGTCTGTACTGTATGTGAAAGTCTCCTCCAGCTTTTGGATTAATGTCAAAAAATTTTTAATACCACATAGTCATTTGGAGTTTGTAGTCAGGAACATAGGTGAAGCTGTTTCATTTTTGCCTCCAGTTAATACAATTTTATTAGTCTCTGTGTTAGGTAGCAATCCACAGACTCCCCCGGTAATTGCTGTGCTGGATCAGGTCCAAGGGCCATCATTCCCATATCCTGACTGTGCTGATGGTGGCAACAGAGGTTCAAGAAAACTCAAGAGCCGGCAGCCTGCCCTGCGCAATTCCTCAGTATGCATTAATGACACAAAGAGGGGCAGGTGCTTGCTTTTATCTGTTTATTTACTTAGTGGATCAAGGTGAGAAATTTAGTGTTATTGTTATGCCAGGGTAAATGTAGACCATCAATCAACGTTTTCTGTACAATTTCTGGCTAAGACAGTACTTACCAATTTTACACTATGATGATTTGGTTTCTTTAACTGTCTCATAGCATAAGGACTTCTGAAAGCTTAAAATAATTGTTTCAGCTAGTTTTAGTAGTATTATACTGATGTGTTAATTCCCATAGTAAGTATGATACTTTTCTTTCAGAATCCTTACTGGTACAGCTGGTTACACCGTATTGTATTACTTCTGCATATCACCTTCAAACCCTTTTAAAAATACAAGCCTGTGCTTGCAGCAGCATCTGTTTTTAGCGTGAAGCTTAACAATTTTAAATCTCTTACTCTGCAGCCCCTTACGAACATTTGGATGTACCACTTGGACGTGGTGATGTAGTGCTTTTTAATGTATCATTTGGTTCCAGCACGAGTTTTTCTACTGCTTCAGTTTCTTTGAGTGTGTGGTGTCACGCCATAATCACTGTAAGTGGCAGAGCAAGCTTCATAGGTAGGTACCCCCCTCACTTACCTGCAGTTGCTTTTGTGATTCCTTGGTTGAACCAGTGGGACTGCCAGTTCAGTTCTACAGTTTCTCTGGTACCCAGCGAAGGACCAAAAGATAATTAAGCAACTGATGCATCTCACATATGGGGAGAGGCAGAGAGTTGGGATTGTTAAACCTGGAAAAGAGAAGGCTCTGGGAGAGTCTTGTCAATGTGTATAATAAACACGATCAGAAAGAGCGAGGAAGATGGGCCGGACTTATCTCAGTGGTGATGGATAAAAGGACAAGAGGAAATGGACATGAATGACAGCAACTTCCATTGAAATAAAAGGAAAAAGGAAAAAAAAAAAAACACACCACTGAAAGGGTGATCTAACACTGGAACAGGTTGCCTGAGCAGGTGGTGGAGTTTCCCATCGTTGTTGATATTCAGAACGCAACTGGACGTCATGGTCCTGAGAAACCTGCTCTAGCTGACCCTGCTCAGGGCAGGTGGATTTGGGCTAGGCAATCTTCAGATGCTCTTTCCAGTCTCAACCGTTCAGCGGTTCTGCGGTGGCAATGGTGTTGTAGGATGTTTCTGCCCCTGTAGCTGCTCAGTCTTACCCAGGTTGTAGTTTGTTACAGATCGAGAACAAAGTTACTCTGCTCCACGTCTCCCTGATGATGAAACTGATCCAAAGAAGTCATTGAAATTCTCTTCTTTAATTGGGTTCCTTAATCTTAGTAATTGGTGATCCAACCGATTATTTTAGGGACTTCCGTTATCTGAACTTCTTATTGTAACTTTTTGTTGGTTTAATCCTTGAATGGTATTTTATCTCTCCCGAGTTTCCTTCCCTGCACCCATTCTGCATATTCATTCTGTATTATTCGCCTCGGAAGTATTAACCACCAAAGTTAAAAGATATTTGCCATTTTTAAATTATGGGTAAATGGCAACATTTACTAGCTTGCTTTAATGCTTACTTCCTGCTTGCTTTTTTTAGCTAGGGCTGCACAGGATTTCTAAGACTGTTTTTCCCAGTAGTGTTTGCTCAGTAGCTAACAATTCAGTAGCTAAGGATTTTACTTCCATTCCCTCTGAATTTCAGGTCTTTAATCAGCACACTTAATTTTAACTCTCTCTTTCTAAAATATTAATTGTTCATATGTTTTAATTTCTTATGGTCTTGGATTTTATTACATTGTAATCACTGTTTCTTATTGGCTGGAATCTGATCCTGTATGTTCCTTAGGCCTAGTTGAAAACAATTTTTCTTTTAAGTTTACAATATTCGTTGAGTAGGTCATCATTTGAGCTACTGACAAATTACTTCTCAACAATATCATGTCATATAATGTGTTAGTATGTTGAACATAATTCATATTTTGTATTGAATTTTATTCAGTATTTATTTATGCAGAGGTAGTTGAATAGAGTTATTTATCCATGACATAAGAGGCTGAGTGTAAAGCAATGAAAGAAGATAGTGAGAATGGCCATTGTCAACATAAGTTATTAGAAGCTTAATCATTTTGATTTGTTGCTATGTAAATTAGAAAAAAAACAACAAGTGAACTGCAACAAACCGGATACTATCTGGTGCGTTACATCTGAGTAACTTGAGAGACATCAGTTGCCATCTTGTTCTTCCTGTGTGATGGGTATATACCTTAAAATGGGGTAAGCTGAAGTATAAAGCAGTGTGGTAAATTTATGAACAGGTTAAATTAGGAACCGGGGCTGCTGACTAGAACTGTAGGTATTTCCACTTTTCTCCTCGCCCCATGCAGAGAATGTCTTTTCTCTGTGGAGTGGCAGTTAATGGTAGAGTGGCAAAAGCTGACTCTGGCTTTATTGCACTTCTGGGTTGCAGAAAGAAGAGTTAGTTCTCTTAGATTGTGAGCTAATGGGAACTCTGTTTAATGTGTTTTTTGTGTATGCGTTTGACCAGAAATTGTTGTTGTGGAGTGCTGACGAGGTAGGTGAAAAGATAAGGTTCAAGGTAATATGGTGCATAGCTTTCTGGGGCCATTCCCAGTGAGACAGTCAGCATCTCCCACCCTTCCACTGATGTGGTCAGCCAGGGCACTGTGGCACTATCCTTTTATCATAGGTCTTTCTATATGGAGACAGTACTTGTGAGATCACAGACTCAATAAATTTGCATACTTTAACTTACTTTCACTTGATTCAGTGCTTCGTGACCTATATGTGTTGGGTTTTTTTAAGGTGTGTCATGCAGTGTAATTAAGGCACACACTAAATGAATTATGATTTTGCTGACTGACATCTCAAGTAATAGTCAGGAGTTGTTGAAAAACATAGATCACTTATGCTGGTGCTTTGCTCAAATTAGTTCTGGCCACACTGTCGTTATTTTTATCTCGTTTGGAGGTAGATATATAAATACAAAATAATCATTAATAACATTTGCAGATGAAATAAAGATCATCAGATTGATAACTGCAGACATGAAAAAGGCAGTCCTACGGTTATCTAGGTCACATAATGAGCTAAATGGATGAAAAAAATGTTTGAATATGGCAGTTATTCTGACAAGTAGGGACTAGGAATTCAGGCTGGATTTATAAAAGGATCGACTGCATCCTGGAAAGCTGTTGAAACTAGACAAATTCCAACTTGAGTCAAGGTATAAATGTAATAGAATAATCTAGAATAGATTTCTGAGGGCATAGCTGTATTTTCCTTCTCTTACTATCAGCCACTGGGGTCTCGGAAGATTCTTAATAATACTCAATGTTATCTGCTTAGCAGTGGAGAATGTGGGTGAATTGTAATGGTCTGAGATACAGGGACAGAGGAAAACAAATAGCAGATCATCAGCACAAATGTCACTTGCTATGCAGGTCTTGTCATCTGTGTGTGGTAGAATAGTTCATAGAATTTTGCTTCATGTCTTACTCTGAGTGCCCTGTGCTCTACACAAGTTTAGCCTTTTCTGAAATATAGATGGTTCGGTGACCTCAGCTTAAGCTCTCTGAATTTGTCTGTAGCTGTCTAACCTGTCTCTAATGTTCACAGTGAACTGTGAAAGCATCTACAGTCAGTGATCTCTTCTTTTTCCCTTTTTCTGCAGGCTAAACTCTTTCCGACTGCCATAATTCATTTTGGATCTGAGGAGTGCCAGGGTGAGTGAATTTCCTCTCTTCTTCAGCTGACTGTATAGCTCCTATAGTAGACCCAGGAGAATTACATCTTTAAGTTTGGAGTTCTTCCAACAGAAGATAATGCAGTCCTCAAGAATGCTGGCAGATGTTCTCCTTGCAAATGGCTGAAGCTCTGCAGAGCTAGTTTGGTCAGTTAGCTTGAGCACAAATGTAAACATATTGCCTTTCTTATGAGACTTGTTAGGCTCTGGAGTAGGCAGTGTCTACTATGGGGACAAGAATGATAGAATGACGACTCTGTAGAAGGAAATTCCATTGTTCAAAATGTTAACCAGACAAACAATTATGAAACATTTCTACAGACCTTCTTTGTAGTGGACTGGCTGGAGATGGGAGAACAAATCTGAATCTTTGATTCTTTGACACCTCTGGTTTGTGCTTAGAATATCTGTTTCTCCCAGAGGTTAAAAATGCTCTGGCTTCACAGAAAAGTTTCTGAGATGCAGCGAGCACTGGAAGAAAACGTCAAGATCTTGAGGTCTGAATGATGAAATAGGGCACCCTGAGTTGTGAAAGAGACTGTCATAGTTTAAAAGTGTCCTGAGTCAGATGAGGGAAGGTGATGGAGATTTACTGTAGTATACAGCAGGTATCTGCTGAGCTGAGAACTACGTGATTCTGTGGTGATTGATGTCTCTGTGTTACCAAACAAGTGTTTTGGTTTCATTTTTAAACAGACTGTTACCTGAAATCGGACCTGCTGCGCTCTGCAGTTTCCCCTTCTGCAGCTGATTTATTAGTAGCCAGGTATGTTGGGACGGAATAGAGTTGCAAATGGGTGAGTATTTCAGGGATGGGAAGCATGAAATGAGCCCATCTTACTACAAAGAAACGTGCTCTGAAGATACTAGGACTTCATTTTGTCCTGAAACAGTCATACTGCCATACTTGACTTCATAGCTTTGTGAGTCCTTCTTTGCAAAGTAGGATTTCAGTGACTAAATCAAGTAAATCCTAGGGCTTTCATCATGAAAAAGAGCCTTTTCAATCTCACTTAAAAAGTCTAAAAGTGGTGGTGGTACAAGGGGCTATTATGAAAAAATGAAGCTTAATTCTATTTGCTTTTCTTCCTCAGATATTTGTCGAAATCATTAGTTCCTTCTGCTTCATCATCTTTAGAGTCAATAGTTCCATCTCTATCTGAACCAGAAGTGGGAGGTGACAAAAAGGCTGATGAGCAGCCAGAACCGGCAAGCGTGCATGAAGCTCCGCAGGTGTTGAGAAGGGCCCCTGGGAAAATACCCAAATGGCTGAAGCTGCCAGGTATCATGAAATAAGAGGAGAGCTCTTCTCATTCTGAACTCCCCAGAAAGGCAGACTCCCCTGTGCAAACTTTGTTGGATGTTGACAATATTGCAGATGTCAACATAAGGCTTGCAGGACATTTGGTTCAATGCTTGTCAATCACAAATCAGTTTCCAACTTAGACTCAGCCTTCACTGGAGAAGTACCCAAATGCAGGGTCTGGGTTGTGTGGAGTCTGGTGTGTAATCCATATGCTTGCGGCGTTCTTGACTATATACTGGGCTTAATGTTTTGAGTTCTTAACTATGCTAGTGTACTTCAAATACTAATAGGCATGATATTCTACATACCAAGGGCCCATGTCATCTGTTAAACCTCTGTTGTTATTTTTTCCTTTGCTGGTATAGTCTGGTTTAGTACTTTCCTTTCTCTTGATTTTTTTTTTTCAGTTGGTCTTTCTGTTCTTAATATTCACTGCAAAACAGAGTGGTTTTCCATAGCTAAGATTGCAACCAAGTTTCCATTATGATTTTTTTCTTGGTTTATCCTGATCAGAAAAATGCAACCTTGGTTTTAGTCTCAGAACCAATAGCTTATATGTGGTTTTATATGAGAATATATACAAAATATGAAGTAACTAGAAGAAGGATTCCTGCATTAAACAATTGGAAATATTTACTTTTTGATGCAGTGGCTAAAAGGAGAAAAGGGGGGGGGGGAAGACGTTGAATCAACACTCTTAACGGCAATAAATCTAGAAGAATTATATGGACTTCCCTGGCTAATAATGCCAACTGCTAACTTCCTGAATGACAATTTTAGTATTTGATTCTGGAAGATACTGTGAGGCCTTCAGCTCCAGCTCACCTACCTGTGCAGTTTACCCATTAATGGCTAGTGTGTAATAATGTGCTCTAACATGCATGCTAGTAACATGTAGGACGAAGTTCCCCGCTCCAAAAGTTATGATATATTCACCATTCCATCTCCCTAAGAAGTGCTCCTACATGCTACCCAACTGTTGCCTGAGCACAGCAGTGTATAGAACCCTCAGCAACCAGATCATATTATTGAGAAACAATATGGTGCGAATTACGTGGTCAAGTGTTTTAATGCTTCTGTGTTTATTTTGTAGGTGGGAAGAGATGAAAGGTTCTGGGCTGCTGGATCAGTGAGCAGTCAGCTGTGCCTCTTTCCTGATGAACTTACTCAGAATGTTAAAAAAATTGTTGGTGGCCCTGGAGAGCTCTAATCTGTATGAACATTAGTTATAAATGGAAAATTGCTATTTCAGATGCCAGTTTCACCTTTTGGAGGAGTGGAAGGCCTGTTTGTGGTCTTTGTGACTACAGAAGCAAGGTTAGAGGTTAAATTTAAGGTTTCTTGCATGCAAATAATATGAATACAGAATTAAGGGGAAAAAGAATTCCTGTGTACTTTCTCTGAAGGACTTTGTTTCTGTCCGTATTTTAAAATTCAGATCTTCCCAATTCTACCTTCAGAAATAACTGGAGTCTAGCTGCCTGAATTCTAGCAGCATGATACAATCCGATCTATAGCACTTAGCTGGAGTTAATTGCTGCCTAGAAAAAGACTTCTCTCTGCTTCTTGCTGGCTGGAGTTAGTGCTGCTGATAATTCTGGGCATAGATGGCTGGAAAGTGAGTGAAGAGGAACCGCTTAGGTCACTTAAAACAGTTCAAATAGGCTTTTCCTGTGAACCTCTCTGTCTGCCGCACTTGTATTGTTTTCAGTTGCCAGAATCTTGTTAACAAAGAACACAAGTATCTGTTAATGGAATGCACGTGGAGTTTGTTTCTGCCCCAAGCTCTGTGTTTTATTTTCACTACATATAATTAACATCAGTAATTACAGTTACAGTGAGGGAAAAAAACATCCAGTAAAAGGGCCTCTTCATGTGACCTTCAATCTACGGACTTCTATGGTCCAAATGTTTCCACAGAAGAGTAGCTGTTCTCTGCAGTGCAGTTAGTGTACAGAGGAGAGCACTAGTCCAGATCTCTGCCTCCTGCAGATGTACTGGGATGAATAGTGTTGGTTAGAATTGCACTTATACTGGAGATGAACTCTATAGTGCCACAGTAGCCGTGGTGCTGTATTTTATTTGAAGTCTTCTCCATGGATCAGTGATTCATATTGGACAGCTGGGGCTCCGTGTTACGGTAATAACATGTTTTCCATTTTCCCTGTATAGACAATTGTTCCCTGAGCTATGGGTGCATCTGCACAATTTGTAGATGTAATAAAGTAGAGTGGCCATAGGAGGCCTTTTTGTCGGTCTCTTTGATAATCCGTTTCTTCCCGCAGCACTTGGTTTCTCTGTCAGTTCACAGGAACCTGTACCCTTTTCAATGGGCCTGTCATGCCTCATTCCCTTCCATTTTTTTTCAACAAAGCAAAAGGGAGCTTTGTACCATCTGAATGAACTTCAAAGTGACTAGAAAGGGCACCCAGGGTTCCTGGCACTTGTCATTGTCTTCCAGCCTGGCCAACATTTCCTTTCAGGTCTAATTACTTCCAAATGCTCCCAGATGCTTTGAAGAAAGTCAGAGGGAGGGGGAGGTATGAAAGAAAGGTGGAAGAGGAAAAAGGAGACTCAAAGTGGAGGGAGCAGAATGCTTTAAAAAAAATGTTGATGATTTCTTATATGACACCCAAACTTAAACAGGGAATGTGTGCAGCCACTGGTAGTGGGGAATACAAGAGCACTGTGTACAGTTGCTGCTCTAAATTCTTACTCTGGAAAGCAAACCTTTCTTGCACTTGACAGGCTATAAAACATACTACAGCAGAAAAAAAAAAACCCTAAAATAATGTTTAAAGTTTATTACTTTAGTGGATTAAATGTGGTCTGAGCCTATGCTCCGTAGGACTATCTGCGTCTTGGTTCAGGTGTTATGTCAGGCTTGTTTGTGTCGCAAGTCAGAGGCAGACTGTAGCTAGAGCTGCTTTGCTGAAGTCATGCAGGATGTATCAGGGGCTACCTAACAGCCATAGCTAATGATAGGTGATGATACACTTGTGCTGGTGGTTTTGATTCACAGGGTTAGAATAAGCAGCAGTTTGGTTGGCAGGAAATTGTAGTATGCTTTCAGGTGTGCTAGTCTTGTTTTTTGAAGAGTACAGGCAACATTAAATAACACTGATTTGCTTAGTTATTTTGATTCCACCAGTTTTGACAGAGACAGCACCGTAACGATCACCTGCAAATACCTGATATGGGAAAACAGAAGGAAAAGTTTAGGGATACAAGCAGCAATATTATTACTGGGGCAGTTTCATGGGTTAAATAAAGGGATGAAGATTAGGAGACTTCATATTGCTAACTGTGCCTTACCCTAGTCAGTTCTGCCCATGCGTGTCCCTTGTGTAACTCAGCCATGCATCAAATCCAATTTAATCTACTTCTTTTTCAGGAGAATGAAAAATTAGTACCTTCAACAGCTAGACCAGAGGTCTTACTCCCCTTTCCCTATGCAAAGAAGAGTCAGTTTTAGCTGCTGCTGCTATTAACATAATGCTTTACTACTAACATTCACACCAGCAATCCTCTTCAGTCAAGAATGCTTGTGTAGGGACCAGATATGTCAGGGAACTCAAGCCCTTTTAGAGCAGGAGCTTTGAGAGATCTGTGTGTCAGCAGGAGTCAGAATAGGGGGAGAGATGAGGACTTGAAATCTGGAAAAGGCAAGAAAGTAGGAGTGAATTCTTTGAGGGACAAGATGCCCCAATATTTAAAACTGCAGCCTCTTCACTAAGGTAGTTGCCTCAAGGATTCCTACCCTGCCGCAGAACAGCACATGCAGATACCCGATGAGCTGGATTTGTTTTAGTATCACTTCTGCTACAGTAGCTGTACTCATCCCTGGGGGTTTGGGGCGTTCAAAGGTAGTATTACTTGCATTTTTTTGCTATTGCCTTTTTTTACCATATGGTTGTGGGGCCGAAGGCTGAACTAGGTCAGTTCCTTCATTGTACAGCTGTACAAACAGCTGTCTTGGCAAAGAGGCTGCAGCGCAGAGGGATGGGGCACTGCTTAAGCTGGTACTGTCATCAGAAAGAATGTGTATTAAATTGTGGTTTTAGCTGAAGTTTCCAAGTGGCTGGTGTCCTGAGTGATGACCTTGATAGCTCGTGGCTGAAAAGAGTACAGTGACCTACTGAGCCTTCACCTGCTGCAGCTGTCAATGGGAAAAAAAGCTGCTCGCCGTCACTGATCGTAAAGACTACAGCTAGCCAGGAACAGAGAGCGTGCAGTCCTTAAGACCCGCTGGTGTCAGCTGCTTTTCGTGCAGCTGGCTGTGTATTTCCCAACAAAGCCAGTTCAGTTGCGTGGGTCCTGCCTGCATGTGTAAGGTTTCTTATTTCACAGCTTCCCCCCCGGCCCCCCTGCGGGCTGAGGGGCCAGGCTGTCCCATGATGTGGGATTCTCACACATGCTGTTTGTTATTCTGTCCTCTTTCCTTTCGTCCTACAGAGATTTAGAGAAGAGGGTGGGTGAGGGGGAAACTTTGCAAGTCTTTGAAGCAACTTGACTTTCGATGATTAATTGCAGCAAAGAGCCTACACAAGGGAGGGAGACTCGGTTTTAATTTATTGATGTTTCTTTGTGAGAACAAATTTATAGCAGAGGGGAAGCAGCTTCTGAGGAAAATATCAAATGGTTAAAAGGTTCCAAGCATTCTTTGATGTCACAGCCCTGGAGAAATACTGGAAGGTAGTGAGGGACAGACACTGTTTATTTATAAAACAAAGATCAGTTACCTGCTTTTGGCAAGCTTGTGACTGAGCTTCTGTTAACAACCTATTCATTAAACAGGCTTGGAGCTGGACCTAAAGTTTCTGCCACAGCTGCCTGCTGAGGTGAGGAGAGCCTGAAGTTTGGATGACATTTCCAGCTATTAAGTCTTTCCATGCATCTCTGTGAAGCAGGACCTTTTTCCCACATTAGCTGAGAAAGCAGCAGCATCATCTCACTGTGAAGTACAGGCTACTGTTACAGGAGTAAGGCGGCAAGACGGAAAACAGTTACACGCTTAGCCGACCAAACCAGGTGTGTGGCAGCCCTTTTTCAAAAACAGCATCTGACAGCATAGTTGCCTAGGGCTTTGTTGTGTTTGGTAAAGGAGAGGGGAAACAGAAACAAAATGGCAGAGAAATAAAAAGTTGACTGTTGTTCCTAGAGCTAGACTTCGAGGCTGAGAAGGATGTTCACTGTCAGGTCAGGGTCTTCTGCTGGCAGGTGCCATGTCCCCCAAGACTCCTCTAGAAATCCAGGAGCTGTAAGGAGAGACGAAACCGGTTACTTTGGGTGCCCGAAGGGAAGAGGCCTCAGCTGCATCAGTCCCCTCCTTGTCAGGTGCCAGGGTTACGTACCAGCTGCGGCAACACTTTCTCCACGTGCTCAACATCCACTTTCTGCAGGCCCTCGGCCTGTGCCTGCCGTGCTGCTCGCGCTGCTGCTTCTGCAGGGTGAGCGCAGGGGAAGAGCTGTCAGAGGGGCGTGTGGGGTGCTGGTCTGTGCCCCGGCCGGGGCCTGACAGAGGGGTGCTGGTCTGTGCCCCCCCCGGGGGCTGTCAGAGGGGGGCTGGTCTGTGCTCCCCCGGGGCCGGGGGCTGCTGCTCCGGGAGGAAGGTGCCGTCCCATGGCAGGAGGTGGCCCCGCTCCCCTTCACCGGCCCTGCGGTGAAGGCGGTCTCGGCGGCGGCGGAGCAGAGCGGGAGCGCGGCGGGGTGAGCCGAGTGTGGGGAGGGGGCGGGGGTCCCTCTCACGGCTCCGGCCGACCCTCGGCCCGGCACTGGGAGC